GACCTACAAAGCTGAGCAGGGCTACAGAGTAGAATTTACTAATGAAATATGAGCTAAAAACAGCTCAAGGAAAATAAAATGCAGAACTTTGTACTTAAAAGTGTGTTTAGATTAAAAAGAAAAGTGGAACCATCTTTTTCTTATTTGCAGGCTGAGAGCAGTAAGAAAAATATCAGTTCCAAGGAAGAGCTACAATTCAACATCTCTGAATTAAGCGGCACAATTGTGAAGCAAGGATTCTTAGTGAAACAGGTAAGTACAGTTTTTGAACCTTCAGTGGGAAACAGGAAAAAAGACAGCTCTTAGGGCTTCCTAGAGACCAAAGGTGATTTATACGAGCATGGTTGGAGAGTTGTGGCCAGCAGAGCTAACTTGCCTGTCAGTACTGCTATCAGAGATCCAGGAGCTGGGGCATACCCTCAGGGCCTGGCACGGGCTTGCAGTGCTGTCCTGCACTGTCAGCAGCTGAGAGGGCTGGGGGGAAGAGTGAAGAGCTGCAAAAGCGCCTGACATAATCCCCTCAAAGCATGCACAGCATGGGTTCTTAATCCAAGGCTCATATTTAAACTAAAATTAAGAGCAGGAATCGGGTATATAATCACTTGGTCCTGTCACTCTGCTTTCTTGGTTCTCAGCACAAGGAAGGGAGAGAGGAAGGAGTTATCAATGTGTGAAGAAGGATGCTAAACAGAAAATTGTGGGAGTTACTAAAATGTCAGAAAAAAAAATTTCTCTTTTGGCTCCAAAACCTCTCTTTCCAGTACCTATTTAGGTCTCCCCTACGGCCTGGAGGAAAATGGCCATTGCAGGAAGTATTTACTGGTGGTAACTTTAATTCTGCTGTTTTGCAGGGGCACAAGAGGAAAAACTGGAAGGTGAGGAGATTTGTTTTGAGAGCTGATCCTGCTTTTTTGCACTACTATGACCCTACTAAGGTATGTGTGTGGGGAGTTACTAACCCCAGAAATCCTCTCACAGACTTAAACATTATAATGAAAATACAATCACGCTATAAATGTTTCTCTCACCCAAATCTCCTTCTGGGTTCCTCTATCCATTTCCTGGGGAAGAAGACCTCTCTAGACTTATCCTGGGAGGTTGTCCTTGCAGGATTTTCTATCGCTGCATCTTCCTTCCTGTCTTTTTCCCAGTGAGATTGCTTTTCCTTAGCTGAGGGGTAGCAGTCTTCTTGGGATTGGTCTTTTGCTGTACCCACACAGTCTGGGACCATGCTCCTGCAGGAATTCTTCCTGGGCTGTGATCTTTCTAGGCTGACATCCCACCACTTGAGGGTCATACTGCTACTGGGATTTTTTACATTCCTCTTCCAACATTGAATAGGGTCTCCTTGATGCCAAAGTATTTACAGGAATTCCTGCTACTCAGTTTTAAACTTGCTCAGGGAACAGTAGAATTTACATTCATGGATATAATAATCAACGTGAGCAACCCAGAAGGACGTGAATCCATCAGCCCCAGATGCATAGGGTACCACAAAGCCCAATGGGTTGCTAAAAGCACATGTATAGAAATGCTTTATGTGGCTTTTAAAGAAAAAATAAACCACATAACAGTGAAAAGAGCTTATGGAGCTGGTTTCTCTCTCTCCACCCATTTCCATCTTCATAAAAAGAATTGATGTGCTCTAATTATTCTAATTATATTTTCTAGACAAGCCTAATTTCCTTGTTCTTTGCAGGAAGAAAACAGGCCAGTAGGTGGATTTTCTCTTCGTGGCTGTCTTGTCTCAGCTCTGGAGGACAACGGAGTCCCAGCAGGTAAGCACAAGGCTCAGAACTTTCATACAGCACACATATTTATGCCATAGCAGTACAGTCCTTGGGTGTGGGTTTGTGTGTGTGGCTGTCTGTGTGCACAAGTGGGCTGGCCTTTCCCCTCCCCTTGCAAGCAAGGGAAGAGGCATAACATAAAAAATCCCCGTACTGCTGGGTTGTCCATATCAGAGGGGACTTTTTTAGTGTTATTTCCACATATCTTGGGTGTTCCCCTTTTTATGGTCTTTTCTCAGTCGGATGACCTCTGAGACAGTCCTAAGATACTGATTAATATTCCAGAGTTAACAGACAAAGAGGAAATGCCTTTTTTTTTAGACATTGTTTAACTCAAAGTCTTGAGGCATCCCCTGATGCCATCCCTTTTCTGTGTGTCCTTCTACTTATGGTATTTTTTCCTTTTACATCTGCTAGAACCTAAATGTAGGGGAAACATAAAGACAGCAATACAAAAAACAGTTCTGCTAGTGAGTATGGTTAGTTTAGGCATTTGTCTAGAACCTCAGCCTCACAGATAAGTGTTTCTGCTGTTAAAGCAATTTATTTTATGACAGTAAGCACACTGTGTGGATCTCAAATAAGGAGCATCTTTCTAAAAACAAAAGACAGGGTCTGAAAAACATACGATCCAGGGTGGAAGGCCATGATGAATAATAGATCTCCTTGCTCTGAGGAACCCAAAGATGGGCAGTAGCAAATCTCATCTACTGCACAAACTGGTAGGGAGTTCATCCCTCATTGTATAACTCAAATAAGATTCTCCATCTAAACAGTGGCTATTTTATATATGAATCGTATACACAGTAGTTCATATAGTCTATGTGAGAGATTTCTGAAGTATATCTTTATTTTGCAGAAGGGAAATCAAAGACATGAGAGCTTTAGATGTCTTATCCATAATGAAATGGAAAGGTCTGATATCCTAATTCACTAAATTAAAATTCTTCACTATGACGCTTCATATCTGCCACAAAGCATTTCTCTGTGCACCTTCCTGATCTGTCATATTTTTTTTTTTCTCTGCAGGAGTGAAGGGCAATGTGCAAGGCAACCTCTTCAAAATTATCACCAAAAATGACATTCATTACTATATCCAGGCCAGCTCCAAGGCAGAGCGAACACAGTGGATTGAGGCAATCAAACCACTGACATGAATAAGGTGAACTCCATGCCAAATGACAAGTCACATTTGTGACCAAGTTTCCTGCTCTCGTTGTCTGGGAGTGTTGTTTTTCCTTTAGTCTATTTTTGTTATTTGTATTGCCATAGCACCTGGGAATTCCTGGCAGACCAGCATCCTAGGTGCCTAGGAGTTACGCAGATTCAGAATAGTTCCCCACCAAGAACTTACCATCTAACCAAGAGACAAAAGACAACAGGTGGATGCAGACAAATGGGGCTTTACAAGGAAACAATGAGATATAATATTCTTAGATGGAAGAAAATAATTATTTTGTACAAGTATTCAGTCTATATCTGACAGGTCCATGTTGTGCTTTATCCTAAAGCAGAAATGTCTTGCTTCTTTCCCCTTTATAAAGGGTCTCATGAACTTAATTAGCTGAGGCAGACTGAATCAAAGTCATGAAAGGTCCTGGTGTCTGAGGCTGCCTTTCTTGGTATACCACAAGTCTTGTGCTAAGCCACACTCCAGCTGCCAGGATAATCACTATTGTGAAACAAACCAGGGGTCTGTCTGTCCATCTGTCTGCTCTACCATTTGGTTCTATGTTAGGCTGGAATAGACCAAAGGATCATCCTCTCCAGGATATAGATTATTCTTGTGCTGGTAGTGGCCTATAGCAGTACAGCACCCTGAGTACCAAATCAGACCAGTGGCAGTTATTCCAGACAATCGCTGGTGCTGAATATATTGTCAGAAATCACTCAGCCATAAAAGCAAGACTTTTCCTCCAGGTTATCACTGTAAGTCCATTTATGTGGAGCACCATTGGGACTAAGAACTCTAATGGCAGTTCTGACTATTGCTTTTTCTATTTTAAGCCATTAAATTTTCCATTATTTGTGTAGTAAACTTGCCTTTGATATCATTAAATATGTAAAAAAAAAGTTCAGTGCATTTGAATCTCCTGTGCTCTTTGGACAGGTTTTTTCTCAGAGGGCACTCTGACTATATTAAAATAATGGTTTCATACACTGTAAATTTAGATTTATATAGAAACTGAGACATTCTCCACAACACCAGAGGGTAGAATGGAATGTATGAGATTACTAAAACACTCAACCAGCCTGCTGATACACTCTTTTCATAAAATTCCTTGTGTTATCTGAGTACCTGTATCTGACAGACAGACTCTGCAGAGTCTCCACAAGCCCTCTGAAGACAGCAGGCTACATATCTTCCCTGAAGTCACAACAGAATTTGATAGCCCTCTATCCACAGAACCACGTCTCTACATGTTTTTTGTTCTCCAAGTTATGTACTGAAAAAAAAGTCTCTTCATCTCCAGACTTTCCCCTTCATCCTGTATTATAACCAACCAATCACAAAAAAGCCAAAGGCAGCAGCTATGATACATGCTTATATATGTATTAGAATAGCCATGTATTTAGGATTTTTTCTAAATCTACAGCAATGAAATAACAGCACAACATTCACGTGCATTTAAATATTTAACAGAGCTGGTAAAGAAGTTTGCTAGCAAAGATGCGGTTTTAATTAGATACAAGAATGGGCAATGCAGTTTCAGCTACAGATACCATTTCCTAGGGCTGGTCCAGAGAAGACTGTGAAATCCACAGCTGTTGAGACCTTTCAATTCACGAGAATGCTACCTGCAAGAGACAGGGATAGTGGTAAGGCATTTATTACTCTGTACTGGAAAGTAGAAATGGCTTTGTGCTGACTGAGCAGAGTTTCCAGGAGAAGCAATTCCCTTCTGACAATGTAAGCCTTGCTGGGGCCCACCTGACTCCCTTATTTATTTATAAGGAAATCTTCTGCTCCCCTTTCCCAGTCCCACCACCTGCATGCTGCCCAGTTCTAGTCACAAAGATAACAGCCACCCCACCTCAGAGGACTGACCTCCACCAGCTCACGTGCCTGGGGGATTGGGGGACCAGGAAGATGTGAGATACTGCATAGCATTGTAAATCTTGGAGTTTGGGAGGCCAAGAGAGTTTCTCAGCAAAAGCCCTCTGATTTACCTGGACCAGCCACAGCTCTGCAGTTGCTGAGTGTGTACAAGAAAAAAAGTGTATGTTTCAAACACATCAGCAAATGGAAAAGATACAGTTCCCACTCTCCAGAATCAGCCAGGGGAAAAAAATAAAGCATTTCTCAAAAAGGAGAAAGTACATTTGCCTCTGTCCTCTGGTGACATTATGGTCTCCTTTTTTTCAAGCCACTTTGGTAAGCTTGATGTCCCCTGTGATCTGCAAAGCTTTCACCAAGTTCAGCGGCTGAATGCGGTGAGCGAAGTCACAGAGCTGCCGTCCATCAAGCAAAACTCGTATTTGCTGGTGTTCACATAAGAGCTCCATCTGCAATGGAAAAGGACAAGGGATGGTGTGAGAGACGAGCAGCAGAGCTGAATTCACCAGCATGGACTTAGCCCCATGTGATGGCGATAATGAAGCACAAAGTCTATCAGTTCCCCTGAAATGCCCGCAAAAAATAACCTACTCTCTGCTGAGATGATACAGTAAAGGTCCTTATAGTGAGTTCTCTCACTAAGACTAGAGAAAGGAATGGATCTCTCCCATTAAGGCTTGAACTGTTGCTTGCCATACTGGACTAGTTAACCTGTCAATTTTAACAGCTGTTTGTGGTCATGTATGTAGCCTTCAGCCTTTCTTCCCCCCCTTTTCTCCACCCTAATCATAGTACCCCAAAATTTACCTTAAACGTGTCACCTGCTGTAAATGGGAAGTAGGGAATAGTCTTCTCTTCTCTTCCCCATTTCCCAGCAATTCGTGCATTTCGGGTGATGGATTTGTCACTAAAGTTAACTGTAAATAACAGCCCAACATCTTTGTTTGCATCCACTGGATCACAGAGCAGAGTCACTGAAAAGCTGAAAAAAACAGTTAAATGACTGGGACTTTCAGAAATGTGGAAGGACACGGTGAGCACATCAGAAGCCTATAAAGACTAGAGACAGCTATTGATTTCTTGTCAGACTGAAACACGGGACTCCTACAGGGACTGTGCACAGGCTTAAAAGCTGCAGAAAGGGATGAGAACAGGCCAGTCTTTGTTTCTCCTCTGGCTTTCGGTAGGATGCTAGTGACTTCTGATGTTGCTTGCCCTCTCTTGTGACTGGAATCAAACACATTTGTAGGTGAGCCAATTCCAATTTGTATCATAAAAGAGGTTATGGAAAACTCTTCACCAGTGTTGATTGCACTGGAGTTGATCACTGTAGATGCAAAAAAAATGTAATGACAGCACAGTTGCTGTCATCCAGACTAAACACAGCAATGAACCTGCACCTCCTGTGCCAAAACCACTGGTTTTCAAATTGTGTTGATTCCAGCCGCCAGCAGACAACCGAGATGTGGGTTCAAAATTGCATCTCTTCCTGGAGAAGAAATGCCCCTTGCGTGCCCCTTCCAGTTCGCATTAGATAAGGGCAGGGAGCGGAAAATGCTGTCAGAGCAGTCAGAAGGTCCAAAGAGTGAATTCTTTCTCACCCTTTTAATCTCAGTCTAAGAGCAGGAGAAAATTAGAGCTATAAATTATGAAACTATATTACTTTCTTCCTCCCAAAGAGCACAGACCCGTAAGAAATCATTTGCATTTAGAAGACAGGTAGGAACACGTATGGCAGGGGTGAAGCTGCCACCAGCCCCTTCACTTACCTCTTGGGGTTGGAGTGTACCACCCCTATGACCGTAAGTTTCATGGCTGGTCTCAGGCCACCTTTAATTTCACCAACATACTGCTCCACCTGCAGAGGGAACAGTGAAAACAGCTGCGGTGGGTCATGCCCTGGGTAAACTGGCTTTAACAGCTGCTTTGGCCCCTTCATATAAGTTTTTTTTTATTTTTACATGTGCAAAAGAACTTAAAAATATTTCTGGCCTAAAATACTTCTTGCGCTTTGGGTATAAATTCTGTGAGTTCTGGTGTCTGAGGCGAGCAAGAAGGCCGCCATAACCAAACCACGGGTAGTGACTGTTGTGTGGGCTGCCTGGCAGGACTGCCAGCTCCGGCGGGTGGTTTCTGACCAAAGTGCTGTCAGTGAGACGAGTGGCCACTGTCAGTGCTCTACCTGACTGATGTGTGTGACTGACGGCGTGCCTCAGGTGGCCCTGGGAACAGCCACCACTGACTTCAGGTGCCCCACGCCACTCCCCGAGCCCAGCCCAGGTACTGCAAGCGCTGCGGCTGCCCTGACCCATGTGTCTCACAGGTGACAGGATCCAGATAGCTGCCACACCTGGGACGAGTTGGTGATGGCTGCTATGGTCTAACGACATAATAAATCTGGTTGCAGGGCTCCATGCAGCAGATAAAAAGCTTTGTGGCGGCCTGACACAGAGTGCAGACTCTGTGTGAACTTACTCAGCCAGCTCAAATTCGTTAACAGATTTTGGTAGGCTAACTTGACGCCAGCAGGTTTTATGTCCTCCGCCACATGAGCAGAAAGCCAGCACAAGGGCCGCATCCCCACTGCACGTAGACGGAAACGCAACCGTGTCCTCGCAGCCGATCCCAGGGGCACCTGTCCCCACCACTTGTTCAAAGCCAGAAAATGACTCCTCAGTGGAGCTTCTGTTGTCCTGTTCACAGAGACCTACAGTTACAAACTCCACCCAAAGGTCAGAGCTACATTCACTTGCTCCAAGTAATTCTCCAACTGCTTCTACTGTCAGTGGAGAAACTAATACAGGCTATGGCTGACCTGGAAAGAGACAGCTTGGAAACAAGTGACAGGGACATTGTGAGCCTTCAGTTTCAGGAACAGCTTTAAAATGTAAATACCAGAGCACTACACTGCAGCATCTAATCACTCCCTATGCAGAGTGACTTAGAAAGAAGCTGCTATAAAACACGAAGGCTTATTAGCAACTTGTGTACACTGATAATTTTCCAAGGCAAGTGCATAGCAGACTCTGTTTTAGATAAAAAGCGCTTTATCGTTCCAGTGTTACAAGGTAAAAATTCAGACATTTTTTGCTAGAAGACCTGCACAATATATGTATGGTTTAGTATTTTGACTATGAGAAAGACTACACCAGCATGGAAACCCACAGACTTCTGCTCACAGCAGATGGGCTTCTATTCCAGTGTAAGTGCTACAAGTATTTAATGTATATTTTAAAATTTTGGAAAATATAACTGATGTCAGATTTTTGAATTATTGAATGCTAGCTTGCTTAGTGGAATAATAAATTCAAGATGAAAAATATTTTCCCTTTGCTCCGTTTCCCAATTTCAATATACAAGTTATATCTTCTGCTAAGATTACCTTAAACAATTTATTTTCCCACTTTTATATTTATATCCAGCCACCTTTACAGCTTCACAGATATATTAATAAACCTCTAATTCCTGAAAAGGCCAATATTGTAAAAAAATAATTAAAAATACCTTCAAAAATGACAGCCCTACTCCTGATCATTAGTAATACACATTTACCCCTGCAGACATGGGCAGGTGACTCCAGCAGGTATGTTTTGAACTTTGTAACAAAAGAAAAGCATCAGCCACATGGGATGTCTTATGTGAGGGAGCAGCTCCTCAAGTAAGGAGTTTGATGGTAAGGAGATAGTTTAAATTGAATAAAGCGATTAGAGAATGGGTAATAAGCACACAAGATCCCACGCTAAATTAACTTCATCCTCATACAGGTCCTGTGTCCCAGTAAAGCTCTTTCCATGCCTACACGAGAGACAATACAAAATAATAACCCCAAATAGAAGGTGCGCATTGAGAAATTGTGCAGTTCTGTACCACAGTAAGCACCATCATTAAAGGCACAGGGAATCAGAATAGATCGAACAATGAGTTCAGAGGCATGACTACCCACACGCCATTTCTCTGACACTGTCGAGGTGACAGTGCAGGTGAAAAATACTTGAGATGCCGTAGGAGATAATGGTACAAGCTCCTGCAGCATCTTACATGGTTTATCGGTGGGTCCCAGCACGTGCACATGGATATAGCCCCCTTCCCGTATTTTCTGTTCAGGAGCCCAGGGGACTCAGTCACTTACTTTGGGACACCTCTCCTCTGTCATCACCGCTCTGCCTCTTACACTTGCCTCCGCTGCAGCAGTCCCCAGAGGAGTTTTTGTTTTGTGTGTCAGGACAAAAACAAACAAAAAGCCCGGAATAAAGGGAGGATATTGGTGGGGGCTTATCTCTGCCAAACACTGGCTGGACACCACCCAGCCGAGCAGCTGAGTCACGGTCCTCTGCGCCTCGTCCCACCGGGGAAGTTCACAAAGTACGTGACCAGTGCGGGTGAGAGGGCAGGGGGACTGCAAGGGTGGGCAGCCCCCGCTGCCCCACAGAGGGGTGCCAGGGAAGCTGATGTCTGTAGCTACATGTATCTATACCTGCACATTCTTATAGAAGTACTGATTCTCTGTGTGTGCGCACAATGTATTGTATTTGTAGATGTACTACATATTTATAAATAACATCATTTATTTATTTTGATACCATTCCTGTCCTCTCTGAAAGGTGTAAAAATACATTTAACTTACATCCCTATATAGACCTATATATAGGTGTCTTATATACACACATAGATATACATATAGGGTTATACACACATACAAGAGGCAAATATACCCCTACATGTATACCTCTCTCTATATAGGTGTGTGTATATAATACACATACAAACGACCTCCCCTCTGAGAGGCCCCCGCCCCACCCCGCCTCACACCCCTCGCCGCTTCCCGGGAGACCTGCACGCCGCGGAGACGCCCCGCAGCGACAGGGGGCGGAGCTTCTGGGGGAAGCCAATCAGAATCACGAGAGGCCCGAGCACGGGGCGGAGCTGGTGTGTGGTAAGACGCGGCCGCGGGGCGTGACGGCAGACG